TTTCTGCCTGGGAAGCATCAGAGCTAGACGAGATGGCCTGGCTGCTGCACAGATAGATACAGTGCTGCGTTCCTGCTCTGGAGGATTTTGTCCCTTGGATAAAAACGTGGATTAAAATCTCTCCAGAGCAGGGACACGCTGCTCACACTCACACACCTTCGCTCCGGAGCTTGCACACTCCGCAAACACTCAGCTGGATGCTCGAAACGGCCCAGGCACGCAGGAGCCACGGCATCCGCGTGCCTTCCCGCTGCCGTGTCTCACCGCACGCCGAGCCCCTCGCACCGGGCAGCGCACATACAGGCATGCACGCTGCCCTGCCTGCTCGCACAGGTACGGTTACGCATCCACATGGCCACGATTGCTCAGATCCAACTGCACACACACACACGCACGAGCTGGCGACAACAGCTTCCCATGCAGGGACACGTATGTATGCACGTGCACAGAAAACTGACTGTACGGTGAGGCACGCCTGCTCACAGGGATTCACACCTACCCACAGCGACACACACAGGTACCCGCACACAGACCTCACGCACACCGGAGAGCTGCAACTCCCAAGCCTTTCAGGACACACACAGAAGCCAAGAGACATTACGGCAGGCACTCACTTGGATTTGTTCTCCTCATAGTGAGCACTGGTCTTAATGTATCTGGCCAGTTCTATCTGCATATCGCCGAATAAAGGAACCACCTGCAGCTGCTGGAAAAGAAAACAAAAGATGGTTGAAATCCGGCAGAGAGAGCCTTGGGTTGTAGAGTAACACGAGGGCCTAGGAAACGGCATCCTACGTCTCTGAAGCTACGAAGACTGTCAGGCTGTTTACAGCAAGGTGAAACACTGGATGTTGGCTCATTTCACATCTAGAAGTGACTGAAAACTATCACAGAGTTTGTTATGCTAGGGCATCCATGCCTGCAGAGCGCTCTGCAGCCCTGGACTCGCTGATACCGTGTTCATTATTGCTAGATGACGTTCAGTGCTGCGACATGGATTTCCAGTACTGGCAACAGCTGCGAGGGGAAAGGGTCTACTTATCAGAAAGAGAGAGAGGCATATTTCTAAACACGACTTGCTGCCTCCCACCCTAATCCTCCAAGAGCACAGAGGGACAAATACACAGCAAGTTATTATTTGAGGTACCTGCTGCCAAAATCGCATGAGGGTCTGTGGTGCGCCTCAGAGAGAGAAGTGTCACGCTGTAGGCTGCTTCGGTGCCTGGAGTCTTTCCTCATGTCCTATGATTTTACTTTGGCACTAGGGTTGCTAACGATGTGCCTTAAAGCTTTCCAATGACTAGCCAAACACAGACAATGGCAGTGTGCGGTATAAGGTGGCTACACTCTCCCTTTACATCTCTGAAGGACTGTGATGGGAAATAAATCCTAAGCACACCAAACATACCTCAAGTTTCACTAAGCTTTCAGCTGCAAACAAAACTCAAACAAGAGCTACCTATGGTTCTGCAGTAAATTATAAAGCTCTGGCTTCATCCAGCTACAAAAAATCAGCCCCAAGATTCTCAAAAGATGGTGGCAAATTCAGTGACCTATTATCACATGCTCCTCTTCTCAGCCTGGTTTGATAGAGAATTTGCAATGCTGTTAGCAGCAGTTCACAGTGGTGGCTTTCATAAATGGTTTAAATGAAGAGGTAGTTCATTTTTACTACTCAAATTCCTGACCAATCCATTAGAAATTTAATCAGAAGGCAGCAAGCAGATGTTGTAGGAGGTGTAGCTGGCCTTTTCTTATTGAGATCTGAGGGTGCGGAGTGCTACTTAACTGACTGAGACCACAGCAGACGCTGGAAAAGTGCAAATGGAAAAGAAGCTGGAAAGGAAAAAGTTCTTCCATACTATGGAAGATATTTCATCTGTCTGATTCTCTGATGGCCCAGAGCACTGCGAAGTGCTCAACGTATCTGTTTAAATGCACCCAGATGACCAAACTCTGTCAGCAAAGGCTTGATTTAAACTGAGGTAAAGATTCAGTCAAATTAGCAAAGCTGAACCAGGAAAAACTCAGAAGGCTGCAAGAGATAGCATGATAAATCTTCTTCGCAGAGCTGCAGGCTTAAGCAGTCTCTCCAGTGACTGGGCAGTATTCAACCATCTCATTATCTCCCCTCCATGAGGTTAAGGCATCTGTCCAAAGTTCCCTAAGCAGTAGTTTGAGCCCTGCTCTAAAAGCTGTCTCCAGGAAATGATGCAAATACCTGTAAATAGGTACCCACTCTTTCAGGGTGGGGATGCAGTAGCAGGTACATCAGCCTCTCCTGAACGCAGCTCTCTGGGCTCAGAAGAGCCTTTCCCCTCCCATCCCACAGACCCAGCACATCATCTATAAACTGTCAGTCAGTGCAAAAAGCAGGGAGGTAGGTACCTTTTGTACCCTGTCGCTACCGCTGACCTAGTCTTTCAGGCTTATCAGCAGCTCTCTGAGTAAAGAGATAGGGCAGAGCAACTCGCTGAAAGAAAGTGTAGGGGAAGAAGAGCTCTGTGACGCACCAAAAGTCATCTCCTTTCCACTTCTACTGATAGAGAGCAAATGTTAGTAACACAGAAACTAGTCTTTCCATCTCAGGAGAAAGATTAATTCAGTGGGACTTTGCTGAGGTCAAGTTATTGGCAAAACGACTCTGGAAGGAGAGCTTATGCTCAGCAGGACTAAAAGAAAACTAATTTGCTACATCTGGGAAGTTACTCTGCTATCCCCTGCTGTTCTGTTACGCTTTGCTACCAATACATTTGTCTCTTGCCAGATCCCACCATGGTGCCTAGGGCTGAAATGCCTCCTAGACTCAATCTGTGCATACAAGCAGTGGAAAAGAGAAGTAATTCTGCCCTGTGAATCCAGGTCAGGAGGTGCTGGCATTGCACTAAGCTCATGCGAGCAGTGCAATAGGCAGAGACAGAGCGCTGGGTCTCAGCCCTTTTCTCCTTCTGCCGCTGACAACTGGTGTCTCTCACATGCACCAGACTTCAGGAGGAAGCAGAACGTTTGTTCAAATAGTTTCACCAAACCACCAAATGAGCCCTTTTAAGAACTTAGTAGGGACCACTTTTCACATGCGAAATAAGCCTGCCAGATAAAATGTTGGCTGGCCAGCTACGTCCCTTGGCATGTCAGCTCAGCAGTGAGGGTAGGGAAAAGGGACTGCAACAACCAACTACACAGTCCTCAACAAACTGAGCTAGGATTTCCGGTGGCTTGAAAGCATGGTGCTCCTGAGGAGACTGCAAATCTGCCTCAAAAACGCACCCAGAGCTAGAACAGGCCTTCAGCCTGGCACACCCTTCTCTCATCCACAGAACAGACCTCCTACATGCCATCCCCTTCCTCTCCCACAGCACTGGCCTTCATCCTTCAGAGGGATACGTGCAGAGTCCATGCAATGGCAGCCAGCTGCTGAGCAAGAGAGCGGAAAGCCCTCAGCTCCCATTGCCTCCCCAGCTCCTGCTCCAGCTCTGCCAGGAGCAAACACAGCCCTGGGCTCTGCTCACATGTCCACAGCCTTGCTCAGCACCAAGGGCCTGCATCTGTTGCCTCACCGTTGCTGTGGCTCTGTGCTCATCCAAATTCATAGCAATCCTATTCATTATCATTCAGTCTAGATAATTTCCAGACTTTCTGGTCTTTTTGGAACTGAATGATTCCCATGGTTTGATTTTTGTTGGCAACATGTGCAAGTGATACAGGTCACTAATTCATTGGTCTGCAGTAATCTCCAGCCTCACTCGGACAGGTCACTGACCTTGAAGAATTTGTCTATTTTGCTAAGGTTGATCCTCTTCTTGGCGTCCAGTTTGTAAATGTTGCTGACATTCCCATCCATCAGATATAGGCCAAACCCCATCACCTGGGGAAGACAGAAAGGCTAGGTTTTACTAGGGAGAAGTCTGCAGCATGGGCCAAAGAGAGTTCTTCACTTAGCATGAGAAATCGCTATTTCGGGATCCTGTGCCAGGTGACGCGGATGAGAAGACTGCATATAACGTGCACATATCTGCAAGGTTGTATGAGGCAGAAGACAGAGGACACAGGATGGATCTCTGTTTTCTGTGTGAAAATGTACGATGCACGCTTTGGTAATTTGTTCCTCCTCTCTCCCACATAACAACAACTCATCTCTCCCACATAACAACTCAAAAGCTTCTCCACCCATAAGAAAAAGGCAAATATTTGCTCCTAGAGAAGAAGGGAAACATTTAAAATATTCTAATGGCTTGTTTTTTTACTCTTTAATTCAGTACAAATCATTATAGATACTAAAAAATAACCACATTGTCCTTCAAAGACTTTGCCTCATATTATGATAATGAGGTTCTTACGGAAATAGGTGACTGTAACGATTGTAATAACTGACTTACAGTAAGGACACACATACAAAACAAGCAGATTCTTTGGCATGCTCATCTTGAGGGCTCTTTAGAGTCAGGAAGCCAATCTGACCGCTGAAAACGGCCACTGAGAAGAAAACTCAGGGCTGCAAAGTCGGTGCTGATTTTGTCACGTTCTACAGTTACCCAGGTCAAGCCCATGCTCCCACACACTCATGCACGACAGAAAAAACGCTTCCGTCTCTGGAGAGCACAGGGCACCCACTGGTGCTCACCTCTGCCAGTCAGTTACCCCTACCTTGCACATGCTTAGTCTCAGGCAGGCAGAGCTGCCAGCAACCTTGGGAAGGTTGGAAGAAAAAGAGAGAGGCAGAGAAGGGGAAGAGCAGAGGAAAGGGAGAGAGGAAGGAACATTTTTAAGCAGGAATATGGGAGAAGGACAGAAAGACCAGAAGAGAAAAAAACCGATATGAATTACAGTGGGAAGCAGAGGCAACTCACTCCCTGCCCAGCAGAGGTACTACTTGGGAGCATTGACGAGGGACATCTCTGACCCACAGCCACGTCCAGGCTGCTCAGCTACAAAGGAGGGGCCTGGCAGGGAAGTTGGGGGGATTGAGGAGTCCCAGCAGATGACACAGAAAGTAACGGACAGTAGAAAGGAAAGAGAAGGAAGGCAGCTTTAGTGCTGCATGCAAACAGCCTTGCCATTTCACTGCCTCCCCTGTGTCCAGGTAAGGCTAGCTCTGCAGAGAACGGGTACATGTAAATCAGATAACTCAAAGGAGGAGGAGAGTAAAGGAAAGAAAATGAAGAGAAATAGAGCCCTGGGAAGCTATTTCATCTTACTAAAACTAAAGAGAAACTACCTAAACACCCAGCCCCATGAGCACAGCAGAATCTCACCTTTAAGAGCATGTGTTTCTCACTGGGGGTGAGATACATCTTGTTTTCATAGTAATCCACACAGATGTTGACAATATCAGCCAGCAGCTCCTCATAGCCCGGGATAACCTCTAGCTGCTGGTGCAGACACTGAAACATCAACAAGGACCACATTATCCACATGGACAGAGGAACAGCAAGAACCAAAGGGAACATATTTGAGGGATTAAGAGTATAACGATGATTCCTAACTCAGTAGGCCAGAACAAAGGTAAAGGAAAAACTTTGTGTGTTTTTCTTAATAGGGAGACCGACCCGATTGTATAACCTCCCTTCTCAAGGACAGCTCTCCCCTTTAGACTGATCACAACAACCAAACATCAGACAGCGAGAGGAAAAGAAAGGGTTCACCTCAAAAAGAGACTTTCTGACCATCTCCTATCTCTGTGTGATATTCTATCCAATTAGCACAAGCTATAGAGCCCATGGAGCAGTGGAGGCATGTGAAGGGCTCTGGTGTCTGATCTGCAGTTCCTGTGCAGCCAAGGAGATGGACTCCTCTACCTCTCAGTCTTCCCTGCCTCACCTGCATGTCACATCCTTTCCTCATTCAAAGCTAGATGGATTTCTGGGGGAAAACAGTGGAAAAGTGGAAGCACCCTAAGAGCTCTTTTTACATCTTTTAGACCTTCACCCTTGTCTTGACATAAGGAGACCTCCAAAGCCAACCAGAACGATCCATTAGAGGGAGGCATTGCTGCAATTATACAGCCTGATTCAAAGCCCACCACGGCCAGTGGAAACGACCCGTAACAAACAAGGTAGCTATGGCCACAGCTCAGCCTGAAGTGCTCTCAGCCTTAGCAAGTTCACTGCCTCTCTCTACCCATGGAAATATTAACTGGTTGAGCAGTACCTGAAGCGCAGAGGAAAGGGACCTGCCTGTGTGATGCGGTTGTGGTTTGCCAAGAACATGGAGAGGTTCTGGGACTCCTGGATGGACTGCGGGTCTGCCATCTTCCTCAGAAACTGGGCAGCTCTGGAATGCAGAAATCCAGCATTAGCAAGGGTCCCTAACCAAATGTGCGATTCACACCACCCATCTTCTTTAGTTCACCTGCAGCTGCAGTACAGCAGCCTCCAAACCCTCCTGCAGTAAAGCTTTGTTCTTTTCCTCATTTCACAAACAGGGAACTGAAACACAGAGGCTCAGAGATTTGCCTAAATTCACAAAGAGAACCTACTGCAGAGCACAAACTCAAACTCAAGTCTCTTTACATCAGCTGGACCTCACTGCTGGACAAACGCTCCCTTGCACACCACGCATGGTCTTGCCCCTCCCTCCAGACTATTAACAAAATTGTCAGCTCAGCTGCTTCTCCTCCTTTCACCTTTTGTATGCAGAGTGATCGTTTTTGACGCTGCACTTCATGTTCTTCAGCTCATCCAGGACGGCAAACATGTTAATAAATTTCCCCAGAGTCAGGAGATAGGCCTCAGAGACAAAGTCCTTCCTTCTCTCAGCATGGCACAGGCGCTTCACCTCGCTGCAGAACCGCTCAATAGCCTTGCGCTGAAAAAGAGAGATTTCCAACTCAGCAGAGGCTGCAGTCAGGCATGACAGAAACATAGCTCACACCTGCTCAGCACATAGCATCACGTGCAATGGCCACACCATCAATGGGAAAACCCCCTCCACCCATGCAGAGTCTCCTTTCTTTAACAAAAGTGTTTTCCTTATGGGGAGGGAGGCACCACCTTCCCTCTCTGCTGTTGCCTTGAAAGGAGGCAGTGTTTCAAACCACTATTTACGAGTGTTCTGGAGGGGAGGATGCAGGCTTAAATTCTTCATCTGCTCTTTAGCTGACCACAGTGTGCTCTGCAAGACAAGGCTTCAGCTATTCAGGTGGAACATAACAATCTCATTGAATTTAAAAAGCAGGCATGCCCGTTAAACCCAGCTGCAGTGAGTTATAAAAGCAAGCGGCACCAGGCAGCACTCCTTCCAGCCCACTGCAGCTGTTTGCTGTGTGGTTGCTGCTCTGGTGAGAGCTAAGCAAGGTATTTTGTCAAGGGACTCAAAAATAGCAACTGCTAAATTTCAGGTTTGGTCCTCTCACTGAGGTTGGACAGCTACTGCTGCCAGAATGAACATAAGTCTCTCTGATTCAAAGACTGTCCTTTCTCTTTCTTTATAGAAAGATTCTCACTAGATGCCTGAACCAGGGTGGTCTTTAAAGCTGTGGCCAGAGGCCCATTTTGAGCCAGTGCTGTATCAGAAGGCAGCAAGCACCTTCCCCAGGAGACTGCAGGCTCAGTGCTCAGGAAATCTCACCTGGGACAAGCTTCGGACACCTTTGCCCTGCCCTGCCTCCGCTGAGAGCCAAGGTGGAAATATCGCTTCCTGGTTTCTTTGCCAGTTGTTCCTCAAGTTTAGCTAGTTAGAAGGCCCTTCCCTTTCGTCCCTGCATAGCAAAAGGGCATCCAGCTGCATGGCCCTCATCCAGCCCCCAGCACGTCAGCTGGACCACTAGGCCTCAGCTGTTCTTGGATTTCCTTCAGAGGGGAAAAGCAAGCTGCACTAGCAGCAGACTAACTTTCAGCAGGGAAGCAGCTGGTCATATCCACCAACAAACACTCATCAAAGGAAAATGGAAGTAGGTGTAGCCATTGGCTCTTGCCCATGGGGGCTCGGGTCCTCCAGTCCTCCAGGAGCCTCAGTGCTGAAGTGTGCTCATTCCTGACTGGAATGGTGACTATATACAAGACCTTGGGGCCAAGCAAGGGAGAGGTGGCACAGATTTTGCTTTGAGCTGACCTCATGTATCTGCTGGCAGCTGCAAGGAAGAGACCTACCAGGAAACTCAGGCTGGTTGGACAGGCAAGACAGAGCACAGTCCTGTTTAGGATAAGATAACACCAAAGTAATAAATTATTCCTGTCTCCCCCCTTGACCACTTACCTGAAAATACATGAATTTCATAAGCTTGGTGACTTCTGGCTCCAGGACTTCCACCGTCTTCTCATAAATCTCCACTCGGTTTGGCTGTTCATTACATTTCACCTGAGATGCAAAGACAAATCTTCATGTCGGTATTAGCGTATCTATCACAATTGTGGGCCTACAATGGCCATCACCTTCTGCTTGCTTCACAGTGAATTTGGTCCTCCACTTGAGGACAACAGAGGGAAGCGAGAGGAAGCTTCTTTTCAAGGCAACAGATGGGAGAAGGGGCTGTTTCTCAGATGTGAAATTCTCTCCACATATTATAAATAGGCACGATCCTGACTCCGAGAAGTAACATCTTCTAATGCATTTGTCCGGGGTAGAGTGCACAAAATGAGTCTGGACTTGCTATCATTACATGGCAATGTTAGATTACTACATCATAAAGTTTTCCGAGATTTTGTGTTGGAAAGTCCCATGGACATATAAGAAACCATGCTACAGCTGTGCAATGGTCCTGCTAGGGTAATTCTGGTTGTGTTGCAGACCTGCTAAAGATCACTGGAATTGTACATGGCTAGCAGCAATGAAATAAGACACCTCTACATCAGAGCCTTTGGAAGCTAAATAAAAGGAAAGATTTATCCAATTGTCATCTACCTTATTTCCAAATGGTGACTCGGAGTCCTAGAAATCCTACTACCAACTTTTTAGGGGAAATCCCAACTGTTCCAGGTAATGTTTCCTGCTCCTATCCTTTGGTAGGGGATGGATCTCCAGGACCTTGCCAGGGCGTATTTTGTCTCCAGCTGTTGCTGATGTAAGGCTGCGATGGGTCTGACAGAGTCTGGTGCAACTTTGCAGCCCAGCAGCGGATCTACAGTGCACAAGGGAGTGAATCAGCTGAATTTACATGTGGGAAGATGCAGAAGTAGCTGTAAAACTCTCTTTACACCTTCTGCGTTGTGGAATCTAGTGATCGTCTCCTGGAATTTCACACTGTAGTCAGATAATACTGATGATCATGAATATGCAGCTAAAAGTGGCCCCATGGTATGGGCATGACTCACACATTTAGCTATAGGCTCAGCTCTGTTCTTCCTCTGTAAAACCGCACTTCCTCATGCAGTACACGGGATGTGTATGTAACTGAATGGGGGCACCAAGCTGCCAGTCAGCAGTAGGTGGCAGATTGTGAGGGGGTAAGAAAAGGCATCCCCAGGGGCTGCAGCCTATTCCTCCATGGCAAATTCAGAAAACACACTCGTTACAAGAGCAAAGGTGATATATCGGTGACTGAACTCTCCACAGCCACGACATCTGCTCCCGCGCTCGCAGGCAGCCCCTTCCGCAGGTCCCCGCAGTGAAGGGTGGGGGTGCGAGAACGGAAATGCTGCAAGCTGCTCTCGGAGAGGCACGGCAGCATCACCGGGGCTGCAGGGAAGGGGAGACATCAACATGCCAAGACAGAAGATGGTGTGAGGCACTCGCACCCCACCCCAGTGTGCAGCTGTCTATCTTACTGTCAGCTCAGCCACTGCTGAGCATCACCAGAAGAGGCAATAGCAGCACAGCATCAAATACAAATGGGGGATGAGCAAATACCCAATCAGCGGCAGAAATCTCCCCATGGCTGCGTCTCATGAGACCATCAGCAGAGTATAACCCGAGGGGAACTGAGGTTTGACCTTTCCTGGGGAATCGCAAAGACAAACATCAGCACTGTCAGCCATGTGGAAATATTTTTCCTGGCTCCCTGGAACCACTGCAAACCCTTTTATCCCTACGGTTAATGCAAATATGCTTTATCTGCCCTGCCATGCTGCTAGCCCGCACTTGTACAGTGATCCAGCGTGTGTTCACACTGCAGAAGACAAGCTTTGAGCTGGAGCCTGAATCATAGATTCAGTAGGCCACGTAGGCAACCTTACTCATGTTTGTAGGTGTTTGCAGGATGAAGCCACCAAAATTCAGGCTGGAGAGAAAAGGCTAGAAAACAGCTGAGAACAGAAGTAGCTGTAGAGGAGAAGGACGTGACTGCAGAAAAATGCTGATAAAACTTGGGGGCAGATCAGGACTTCCCGGCATTTGGAGGAGACCTGGCTGGGAAGCAGATATTCTCCTCTCAGGAAATTTTTCTGACATATCAAAGTACTCCTTCACGCACACTGGCACAGCATCAGCCCTTCTGGGGCTGCCATCAAGAGCAAAGAGTGCTCCAGAGTCACAGCACCAGTCTAGGATGCTGGAAACCCATCCTCAGCCGCTTGATCTGCTTTATTGAAGTTCAGGGGGAGCCTGGGTCTGCCTCATCTCAAAAGGACACTCTGTTCTCGCTGCTGGGCTAGCCAGGCTTTCTTCAGACACTGACAACAGTCCCGCTCTAGACTGGAGTAATTCTTAATAGAGTCAAGACCCACCATACACTGGTATCAGGAAAGCATGATATAAACCAAATCTGATGATCTTACTTTCAGCTTCCAAAAACTAACTGCCTTGCCCCTTCGCCTGAAGCAAACTCCTTCTCCCCAGAACATGAGAATGAGAACTACTCAAGGTGAGGGACTGGAAACGAAATATTGACATTGCTTTAATTAAAGCAAAGGCTATCCATTGTCCAGACAGAGAAGCAGATAAAGAGCCAAGTCATAAAACATACAGTCCCAAGTAACAAGCTGGACCAGAGCTGTGCTCAGCTGAGCCCTGTCAGCAACTGTGAGATGAGCAAGCTGGTACAGCTTGGCTGACGTAAGGTCAGGTGTGATTGCCTTGGAGAACAGGAGAGTGGGGGGGGGAAGAGGGGGGGCTGAAGGAGCCAGGACATATATTTAAGGCAGTCAGCCCCTACAGTTACTCAATTTGTGACTACTGTGACTTAGCTGAGTGGGTTTGCTAAGATATCTTAGGGATAGAGAAGCTGTAGCTATTGTATATGTGAGGGTGTAGAGCAGGTGTCCTCTGGCAGGGCAGGAGTATAGATATGTTTTTACTGAATGGCTGTTTACTGCTGAGATCCATGGTTGAGGCTCCTGTGTGGGGGGAGGTAGTTTGAAGAGTCAGGGTCTTCTCATTTCAACCTTTTCTTCCACTTCTGTCTTCTCTGCTTGTTTCTGTCTCCAGCCCAAACTAATCCCAACTGAAGGCAAAGCTAGCTAGCTGCTCTAGGAAAAGACCTGGTACCTGGGGGATGGCTCGGGAGCAGCTTCTCCATGTGTAAAGCATCACAGCATACTCATGGCCCTCTTCCAGCATTTCATTCTGAAAAACACAAAGAGGCGTTGCCGCGGCGGGGCCCGTGCCTACGGCTCCATGTGGGTGCAACGGTGCTGGGCTGCCCCAGAGACTCACCATGCTGGAGTGCACTGTCGCCTGCTCGATGTACCTGGCAATGCCCGTTACGAAGGCATTTCTGTCTTCAAAGTTTGTGTCAAAATTAGCCTGTGGGTGCCACAGAGAAATAGGGATTAAAATACTGCTAGTTGTATGTTCACCTGATATATTTCCACTTGAGAGCTTTTAGCCAAAGGGTTTCATAAGTATATCCATCCTTTAGACAACCTGTCCTCCCAGGAAAACCCCCATGCAACTGCAGGCAGGAGCAGGGGTGCTAGAGGGGAACAGGAGCAGGCAATGAAAAACTGGAGATGCTGGAAATCACTGGATCTCTAGGTCTGATGTAAATTGCTCTTTGTATGTGTGCATGCATACATACACCATGCAATACTGCGGAACCACTCATTTTTGTTGGAGGAAATCCTGCAGGTTATATGTGTGAAAACATGACAATCAAGACTGCCAAGCCCTTGTAAAATCAAGCCAAGCCAGGTGGGGATTTATTAAAAGAATTGCAGCTGCTCAAAAGAGCAAACCTCTAGCAATTATGCTAAAGATATTTGTCCATTAACTCAAAGACAGATGCAGCCTCATTAATTTCTATTTATCCTCTAGCTGCTATGAAAAGACCA